AGCTCTGTTAATTTTGCTGTATACTGTCTTTGTTTTTGTCTTGCTTCATGATCTTCTTTTCCTTCTGTTACTCTTACTAGTTTATGGTTATCAACTGATATAGACCAAGGGGTATTTCTTTTTTCTAATTCTTCTACTTGGATTATTGCGAGAGCCTTGTATTTGGACCTTTTAACTTCTGTTATTTATGTATTTTTGAATCTTCTGCATAAATATTCAAGTTCCTTCTTATTTATATCTGTTGATAGGTCCCAGATTGTTATATGTTTTGTATTTCTTGCTTCATTCTTAGAGTCTGTATTTTCTTCTTTTTCTTGAATTTCTTCTTTTCTATAACTCTTTTTTTTATATTCTGTTGTTTTATCTTTTCTGTTTTAGTATTTGTTATTGTACTTCTTTTGTTCTGTTTTTCTTTTTTCTTTGTCTTCTTCTGGTATCATTCTATACCAATCACTTTCTTTTTTACTTATTTTTTGTATTGCTTTGTTTCTACCAAACTCGCAGTTGAAGTCTATCTCAATCCACACATTTCCTCATTTGAAGGTTTCTTTAATGTTTTTAACGTGTTCATTGTCTTTTAGTGACCACTTAATGAACTTTACATGTTCTTCTTCTGTTTTTCCAGGTACATTATGTGCTGATATATTTGCAAGTAAGCTGTTGTCTTTGTTACAACTTCTTCTGCTTGGTGCCCATATGCTTTCTTTTAATGAAATTTCTACCATATCTATTTCTCTATCTACTATCTGTTTTCTTTTTTTTTGTCTTTCTTTCTCTTCTGATGTTGAACCTTGTCTTGATTCTTTCCCATTTATTTCTATATTTTCTTGTTCTGTTTCTTTTGTTTGCTCTTTTCTTGATTCTTTTTCTTATACCAATAGTTCTTCTTCTAATTGGTTTGCATTTTTAATACTTACCTTTATTTTTGCTTTTCTTTTTGTAGTAGATTCTTCTTCTTGTAATTTTCTCTTGCTTGTGTTGTTCTCTTCTATCTTCCTTTTGATTTTTCTTTCTGCCTCTTGTTTGTCTTTTTGCTTTACTTCTTTTTTGCTTATTTCTTGTTGCACTATTTTTTTATTCTCTTGTTCTTAAGTTTTTTCAAAGTCAATTTGCATTATATTTTTGTTTGCTTCTGTAAAGTTAAGCTTCTTTTCTGGTTGTTCTCTTTTTGCTTTTTTGATTAATTCTCTAGTTTTCCTTAATAGTGCAACTTCTGCTAGGCTCTGCTCTATAAGCATAGTCACAATTTTATCTTCTCTGTCTAATATTACATATGTACTATTTGACTGATTGAAGAATATCTTATTATGTATTTTATTTATTGTTCAGTATGCTCTTTTCATGAATATTATTGAAAGACTTTCTCCACACTCTGTTAATTCCATATTCTATTTATATCTATATCTTTCTGATTGGTTCTTTGTTATTTTGCTTATTTATTTATAGAATTTATGTATATCGATATAAGATTTGTGTATCTATTCTACTTTAGCAGCTTGCACATGTCTGTTGTTGTTTTGCTATTATGTGTTTTGTGTAATGTAAACAGATCTACATTACAGAGTCTAATGACAATTCCCTACTACTATCATTTTCAAATAAGTTTTTTTGCTTTTCTTTAATGACTATGCTATTATTCTTTGCAAATAAACTTTTCTTCTATTAGTCTATTGCTTTTTCTGTTGCTGTTTCTTTCTGCTTAGAGCTACTTAAGGTGTTTTCTATTGCTGTTTTTGCTAAAATCTACTTTTTTCTTTAGCAATTTTTGTGTCCAAGTGATCGATAGGAAGAGTTGTCCTTGAGCAAATATTTTTGATTAGACAAAATTGATCTATTGTATAAATTTTTTAAATATTAATTATTTATTAACTTAACTAACTTACATACGTATTAGTTAACTTGAAATAACTATTAAAGTGATCAACTTAATCCTACTATATATACTTTACTATATTAAGCTAAATTTTAATAATTCTGTTTTGTAAAATTCTTCACTATATTGAATATTTACTATATCAGTAGTTTACTATAAAAAGATTAATATGTAGTTCATAATTACGAGTTCAACCAATCAAATTACGATAATGAAGAAATGATCTGCATAAAATGAGCCAATCAAACGAATTTATGCCTATGAATCTTTGAGATGATCGTAATGTGTGACAGATTCTGACGCATGTGTATATAAATGTCTGTGGTTTTTTTTTTACGATAATCTCGATGTTTTGTATTAAAAATAAAAACATAATTCCTCCAAAGTTTCGATCTTATAATTCATATGTAACGCGTTTAAAATTATCATCCATTACATATTCAAAAGATGTGAATTATAATGACAGTCATTGGCTGAATTTATTTCAAACAATAAAACCATTACAATATCGTTCGTTTAAACGGTCATTTGTTTCTTTAAAATCCTTTTTTAAAACAGATAATAAGAAAGATAAGACGGATTCTCAACTTATACTTCAAAATGACAATTTATTTCATCCGTTTTCAAACTCTCCAATAAAGAGTCTTCGAGAACGAGGCGAATTAATCAGAAAATTCGGTAAATGTCCAGTTTGTGAAGGACTAGCTAAAGAGAACCAAAAGAGACCCACTTATGAGTGTCCAGCTTGTGGAATTCCTACTCATTGCTCAGAAGAACATTATAAACATAACTTAATTGAACATAAATTACATGCATGTAAAATGTTAAGAGAATTCAATGAAGATATGCATGATTTAATGAGTGGTAGAAAAATGAAAGAGTTGGAGTTTCCGAGTAAGTTTATCTAAAATTCATTTTAACTTTCTTTAAATTACTTTATTAACACTTATCACTACTTATAGGTTCACAACCACTTGATGAAGAAGTTAATTTGTTAAATTGGGACACATATTTGTACACAAGAGGATTTCCAAGTATAGATCATGATCGGTCATTGAGACACATATCTAAATTGTTGACATACCCAATAACCATTGGATCTGTTTTGCACAATAATGGTCCCTATACGCTCAGAAATCGATTGACAAACGAAGGGTTGAAGTCGTTAATGGGTAGATTTACCAGAGTTTATTTTCCTTTTTATATATTACTAACACATGACCTTTTTCATAATTCAAGCATTGAGAACGAGCTTGCATCCAAAACAAGTCACTGTTGACATAAAAACACTTCGTCCCGCAGAAACAGTCCGAATCTTTATCGTTGGAGCCCGTGCCGAAGCACAATTACCGTTACATCTATATACACAACTTTCATATTTATTCCCGACCGTAACATTGCATTTTCATTTCGTTGGACCAGAATCACTTCCACGTGGAAATGAGCCACATTCAACACATTTTAATCATTACCTTTCTTTTACATGGAAAAATTCTTTATATCATGATTATCATGATGCTGTATATCCGTTTGACCCATACTGTGACGTGTTCTTCCTTTTTAATCCTGGAATAGGCCGAAATAACGGAAAAGAATTATGGGAGAGAACGATTAAACAGTTATTGAAAACTAAATGCGCTATTTTTATTACCGGGTTTGATGAAAACGATATGAAAAACGAAATTCAAACGATAGAGGAGGATGACACATTTGAATTCGATTGGGTACTAGAACCAGGTGAAAATGAATTTAAAAGTTTGCGAAGAGACATTGACATAGAAGACGTACGAATTGGTGTCTATCCAAATTGGGGAATTTTTGGAATAAGAGGAAAAAGATATGATGTACGTCACTATGAGGAGGATGGTGTAATAGAAGTTAAAGAAGAGGAAGATGTAGAAGAAACAGAAGAAATAAAGAGAATAGAAGCGGGCGGAATGACAAAGCAACAAATTCGGCATTAAAAAAATAAAATAAATTCTTGCACCTGTTACACTAACATGATAGAAATTTGGTTTGATTGGCTATTATTTTATATTAACTAAGTACTGTTACAATAGAAAATTTTAACAATTAACCTTGACCGAAGTTCCAGTTATGTTAAGCCACAAAAATACCGCCCCTGATAGATCGTCGGTACTGTTCCTAATAGGGTAAGAAATAAATATTTGATTTACCCCTTATGTCAAGAAAATCCTGGGCTTCCGACCCTATTCGGTTCCAATAAAACCACAGGATCTGTGTAACAAAATAAACGCGAAAAACATAAGAAATTGTAAAAAAAACATAAATAACACAAAAATTTATGATAACCAAACTTCCGACCTCTAAGTAAAAGTTTTCAGAATGAAATCTACTCACAAGGCACAATTGTTAATGTTAGATATATAGGGAATTTTTGAGATACTACGACCTATATTTTTTTGGCCGGCAGCTCGGGATTTTCTTGACCCGTTCTGATAGGGTTCTAAAAAAAGGGCTTTAAAAAACTATACTACCATAGCAGTCAGTGGATATGTCGTTTACAATTGCAGACGTATTGATCAATTTAATTGACGTACTTAAATTTTATAAGTAAATTTATAAAAAAAAACTTTTATTTATAATTTCATCGAAATTAAAACAAAATCAATCTTAAAATTTTAGTTACTTATTCTTTAGTTCCTAAGTAGCAGTTAATAATAAAATTGAAAATAATCCTGATCCTAAAGTTGAACGTTCTTTTACTATGTTCCTTAAGTCAAAAAACTGATCTATAAAATATTGTAAATATTTCGTCATAATATTTTTTGACGATGAGTCAGTCATTTAATTTAAGGAACATATATTATTATAATTGGCGGTGTGTCAGTCTTTGAATAAGAAACATTGTAAATAAACGTTCAACTTTAGGGTCAAGATTATTTTGAACTTTTAATATTAATTATTAGTTGAATTTTGTACAAAGAATCTTCAGATATTCAAGAATAAGTATTTAAAGTTTTTAACTTAATTTTATATTAAATGAAGAAAAATAAAAAAAAATTTTATAAACTAGTATATGAATTTAATACATAAACTTTTCAACACGTTACTTAATTTTTTGACACAGTATTCTTTTTACAACCTTACTAGTGTCTTGTTTATCTTTGTAAGTTTTCTATACTAACAATTCAGTAAACTTTGCATGATACAATTTCATGTTCAGATTAACTAGTAATCAGATTGGTGGATCTTTTTTATTTAAGAATTCTTGTTTGTACATATTATTTGTCTTAGGTTTCTTTTCTGAATCAAGATTTTTATAAGTAATTTTATCAAAGATCATATTATCTTTTTACTTGAAATTTCTAAATAGAATTTTTTATAAAGTATATACTTTCTGGATTTATTTTTATTATATTGTACATTTTTAAAATTAGTTTTGATATAATTTTTTTACAAGTAATATTAAAGCAGTTATTATTTCTAAAATTATAATGTATTTTACAAATAGTAGATCATTTTTAGAAAAAAATAATATAAGTATACAGGTAGTAAAGTCTATTTATATAGAAGATTGGATTTATAATAATTAGATCTAATATACAGAAAAGATTATAGTATCATTAGTTCAACAATACTATCAAAGATTTGTGTTATTTTTTTATATAGAAATTTTTAAATAAAATTCTGTCTTCTTGATTTCTTAGTCTTTTGTACCTAATGATCTTATTATAAGTTTATACTAAAATCTTATATAATATTAGTTAATAATATTTTTTTATATATATGTAATATTACATTTCATATAAATGTCTCAAACTTTTATATAATGAATAAAACCTAAATTATACCTAAATCTAACCAATCAATAGAAGACAGTTTTCTGTAATATAGATTAATTTTTAAATTTATTATAAATAGAATTTAGGGGTATGGTGACCTAGTGAAGTGGTCAGGTTGTCAACCCTTCAAGTGGTAGGTTGGGTGTTCAAATCTCATCGACAGCAAAAATTTGGATAATCACCTATGTAATATTTGTATTATG